AAACCCCAAATCCTATAAAATTCCCATAAAATTCCCATAAAATTCCATAAAATTCCATAAAATTCCCGTTTTTAGGGCCAAGGCAGAGGAGCTCCACGCCTGGATCCAGCAGCTCGAGTCCGAGAAGTTCGACCTGAGCGAGAAACTGCGGCGGCAGCGCTACGAGGTGGGGCCCAAAAACCCCAAAAACCCCAAATCTGACCCCAAAAACTGACCCCAAAAACCCCAAATCTGACCCCAAAACGGAGCCCAAAAACCCCAAAAACTGACCCCAAAACGGAGCCCAAAATCCGACCCCAAAAACCCCAAAACTGACCCCAAAATCCGACCCCAAAAACCCCAAATCTGACCCCAAAATGGAGCCCAAAAACCCCAAATCTGACCCCAAAACGGAGCCCAAAAACTGACCCCAAAAACCCCAAATCTGACCCCAAAATCTGACCCCAAAAACCCCAAATCTGACCCCAAAACTGACCCCAAAAACCCCAAATCTGACCCCAAAATCTGACCCCCAAAACTGACCCCAAAAACCCCAAAAACTGACCCCAAAACTGACCCCAAAAACCCCAAATCTGACCCCAAAAACTGAGCCCAAAAACCCCAAATCTGACCCCAAAACGGAGCCCAAAAACCCCAAATCTGACCCCAAAAACTGACCCCAAAAACCCCAAATCTGACCCCAAAATCCGACCCCAAAACCCCAAATCTGACCCCAAAACGGAGCCCAAAATCCGACCCCAAAAACCCCAAAACTGACCCCAAAATCCGACCCCAAAAACCCCAAATCTGACCCCAAAACTGACCCCAAAAACCCCAAATCTGACCCAAAAACTGACCCCAAAAACCCCAAATCTGACCCCAAAACGGAGCCCCAAAACCCCAAATCTGACCCCAAAAGTGACCCCAAAAACTGACCCCAAAAACCCCAAATCTGACCCCAAAAACTGACCCCAAAAACCCCAAATCTGACCCCAAAATTGACCCCAAAATTGACCCGAAATCCCAAAAACTGACCCCAAAGCCCATCCCCATTTTGGGGTGGATTCTGGGGATTTTGGGTTCCCGTTCCCATTTTGGGGTGGATTTTGGTTTTTTTGGTGTCCCGTTCCCATTTTGGGGTGGATTTTGGGGTCCCATCCCCATTTTTGGGTGGATTTTGGGTTTTTTGGGGTTCCCGTTCCCATTTTGGGGTGGATTTTGGGTTTTTGGGGTTCCTGTTCCCATTTTGGGGTGGATTTTGGGTTTTTGGGGTTCCTGTTCCCATTTTGGGGTGGATTTTGGGGTTTTTGGGTCCCGTTCCCATTTTGGGGTAAATTTGGGGGATTTTGGGGTTCCCGTTCCCATTTTGGGGTGGATTTTGGGTTTTTTGGGTTTCCCGTCCCCATTTTGGGGTTTTTGGGGTCCCGTTCCCATTTTGGGGTAAATTTGGGGGATTTTGGGGCTCCCGACCTGACCCCGCCCCTCCCCCCAGATCAACGTGCTCTACAACCGCATCAGCCACGCCCAGAAATTGTAAATTCGGGATTTGGGGAATTTTGGGGGGTTTTGGGGCATTTTGGGGATTTTGGGGAGGCTCCTGAGGGATTTGGGTTTTTTT